ATCAACTATAAGCACTCTTTTTTTTAAGAAGAAAAAAAAATAGAGAGCAAAATAAATTAAGATTATGTTTCAAATATTTTCCGATCTACCTCAATCATGCTAATATGTAAAGAAATTAAGTTACATTTTAAAATATAGTACAAAGTAATTATTACTGACAAAACTGACATCAATATTCTCAAGTCACATTTGTGTTAATGTAAAAAATAAGGCTTGGTTGAATGACAAACATTTTATATAAACAAGAAAACTTTCAATTATATACATATTTTTATACGATGTAAAAAAGCGTTCGTTGCTAAAGTTAGTAACAATATTAGTCACCATACATTAGTTTCGGTTACTGGTAATCATTTTACTTATTTAAATAAGAATGTTATCAAACACTCACGTGTCCATTATAAAAAATCTTCCGTTCTCCTCCACCCAGCCTAAAATAGCATCAGTTGCTTCCTAAATGCAAGTATATGTGAAAAGACATTATTTTATTCAGCAAGTCAGTGTGCTCAAAACCATCACAAACGTTTTAGCAACATTCACACAGAATATTGGCTGCAGAAAAACAAAACTTGCACCAAGTTTACGAAAGGAGTTTTATTTGAGTTACTAAAATTAACCATAAAACTTTGACAACAGCCGTTCACAACATTCTAAACTATGTAAATACTGAAAGTTTACAGAGTTATAAACACAACTTTTTCCTTTGATTATCTTTAAAGAATATAGGATCACGTACTGCTTACGAATTAATGTGCTAAGTAACTAAACTTCTTAGTATTTTAAGATGAAGTATAACACTATTTCAAAGTGTGGGGATTACAATTGTTACGTTATCAAATATTAAAGACTAAAAAAAAAGACACACCATTTTTTTATCTTTTGAGAAGGCAATTCCAGTCCACTTGTTGTGATTCTTTGTACTAATAGTAAAGGTTATCTCATCAGACTTGTCGACGTATTTCCACACTGCCCTGTAGTCACATCCGTAACCCTTACAGTCTGTTGGAGACTTCCACTCACCCATACATTGAACCATGTCTTCTTCTTTTGGCTTACTTTTAGGTTCAGGTTTAGAACTCTCATCGGGCTTACTGTTAGGTTCAGGTTTAGAACTCTCATCGGGCTTACTGTTAGGTTCAGGTTTAGAACTCTCATCAGGCTTACTGTTAGGTTCAGGTTCGCTGCTTGGTTCAGGTTCTGTTTTTGCCTCCTCGTTTTGATTTAAAACTGAAACAGTTTTAATACCAGACTTTTACATCTCTCTTTCCACTTACAAATAACAAAAAGTCTGATTAAACTAAGCTGAATGGACAGCAACTGCCTGTTGTAGAAACACGAGTATAGAGGACGATGTTTCGAAAGTCTTCTGCCTTTTGTCTTCAGGTCTGTGTGTGTATATGGTGCTGTCTGTCTTTAAAGTATTCTGGTGGATTGTGGAAAACGTGTAATGATTGGTTGGCTTATCCCCGTTTCTGATTGGTGGAGAGACTTCCTGTAGTTTCAGTCAGTGATAGCCACAGGTTACTTAACTCTAATCTCTGTTTAGAGAAGGTTTTATTGTGTTAATGACCTGAAGACAAAGACTTTCAAAACGTAATCCTCTACAT